GGTGGGAGGAGGGGATAGGTGGGAGGAAGAACAGGTTAGGGAGGCAGGGACGAGCTGGACTGGTTTTGGGATGCGGTAGGGGGAGGGGAGATTTTGAAACTTGTGAAATCCACATTGATACCATTGGGCTGCAGGGTTCCCAAGCGGAATATGAGTTGCTGTTCCTGCAACCTTCGGGTGGCATCGTTGTGGCACTGCAGGAGGCCCAGGATGGACATGTCGTCTGAGGAATGGGAGGGGGAGTTGAAATGGTTCGCGACTGGGAGGTGCAGTTGTTTATTGCGAACCGAGCGTAGGTGTTCTGCAAAGCGGTCCCCGAGCCTCCGCTTGGTTTCCCCGATGTAGAGGAAGCCACACCGGGTACAGCGGATGCAGTATACCACATTGGCAGATGTGCAGGTGAACATCTGCTTGATGTGGAAAGTCTTCTTGGGGCCTGGGATGGGGGTGAGGGAGGAGGTATGGGGGCAGGTGTAGCACTTCCTGCGGTTGCAGGGAAAAGTGCCGGGTGTGGTGGAGCTGGAGGGGAGTGTGGAACGGACAAGGGAGAGAGTGGTCCCTCCGGAAAGCAGATAAGGGTGGGGAGGGAAAGATGCCTTTGGTGGTGGGGTCGGATTGCAGATGGCGGAAGTGTCGGAGGATGATGTGTTGGATCCGGAGGTTGGTGGGGTGGTGCGTGAGGACGAGGGGGATTCTTTTTTGGTTGTTAATGCGGGGACGGGGTGTGAGGGATGAGTTGCGGGAAAGGTGGGAGGCACGGTTGAGGGTGTTCTCGACCACTGAGGGGGGGATGTTGCGGTCCTTGAAAAATGAGGACATCTGAGATGTATGGGAGTGGAATGCCTCATCCTGGGAGCAGATGCGGCGGAGGCGAAGGAGTTGGGAATAGGGGATGGCTTTTTTGCAGGAAGGTGGGTGGGAGGAGGTGTATTCTAGGTAGCTGTGGGAGTCGGTGGGCTTGAAATGGATATCGGTTTCTAGGTGGTTGCCGGAGATGGAGACAGAGAGGTCCAAGAAGGAGAGAGAGGTATTACAGATGGTCCAGGTGAACTTAAGGTTGGGGTGGAAGGTATTGGTGAAGTGGATGAACTGTTCGAGCTCCTTGTGGGAGCACGAGGCGGCGCCGATACAGTCATCAATGTCACGGAGGAAGAGGTGGGGTTTAGGGCCAGTGTAGGTATGGAAGAGGGATTGTTCCAGATAACCTACAAAGAGGCAGGCATAGCTTGGGCCCACATGCATCCAGTTATCTCCATCTCGCCTATCCCCACCAGCCCCACCCCCCCCCCCCCTCCCCAGTCTTGACAAAGGGTTTTGGCCTGAAACATTGACTTTCTTGCTCCTCGGATGCTGCCTGACTTGCTGTGCTATTCAAGCTCCACGTTTATTGACTGTAGCTTCCAATGTTGGTATTCCCTACTGTCTCCCAGCCCACAATCTCTTCCCCAGCTTCCCACAAAATTTTGGGATACACCTGTTCAGGTCCTCAGGATTTATCCACCTTTAGGTGTTTTAAGATGTCCATCACTGTTTATTTCCCCAACTTCTTTCGCTTCCATATCCTTCTCCACAGTAAATACTAAATATTTGTTTAGTATCTCATCCATCTCCTGTGCTTCCACACATATGTGGCCTTGTTGATCTTTAATGGGCCGTATTCTCTCCCTCGTTGCGCTTTTGTCCTTAATGTATTTGTAGAATTCCTTTGGATTCTCTTTAACTCTATTTGCCAAAGATGTCTCATGTCCTGTCTTTTCCCTCCTGATTTCCTTTTGAGTATCCTCCTACTGCCTTTGTACTCTTCTAGGGATTCGCTCAGTTCTAGCTTTCGATACATGACATACGCCGCCTCCTTTTTGTTGACCAGAGCCTCAATTTCTCTAGCCATCCAGCATTCCTTATACCTACCAGTCTTGCCCTTCAAACTAGTAGGAACATACTCTCTGAACTCTCGTTATCTCATTGTTGAAGGCCTCCTGCTTCCAAGCTGTCCTCTTGCCTGCGAAAGCCTCTTCCATTCAACTTTTGAACGTTCATGCCAAATACAGTCAAAATTGGCCTTCCTTCAGTTTAAATTTTAACCTATGACCAGGTCCATCCTTTTCATAACTATTTTAAACTAATAGAATTATGATCACAGGCCCCAAAGTGCTCCCCCACTGACACCTCAGTCTCTTGCCCTATCTTACTTCCAAAGAGAAGGCCAAGGTTTGCTCCTTCTCTAGTAGGTACATTCACATGCTGAAAAAGAAACTTTTCTTGTACACACTTAACAAATTCTTCACCATCCAAGCCCTGAACACTATAGCAGTCCCAGTCTATGTTTGGAAAGTTGAAATCCCCCTACCATTACAACCCTGTTATTCTTACAGATATGAGATCTTACACATTTGCTTCTCAATTTCCAGCTGATTGTTGTGCGGCCTATAGTACAATCCCAACTGGGTGATCTTCCCTTTCTTCTTTTTCAGTTGCACAAATATAACATCACTAGCCGTCCTTCCAGGAATATCCTTCCTAAGTACAGCCATAATGTTATCCTTAACCAAAAACACCACTCCCCCTCTTCTCTTGCCCCTTTATTCTATCCTTCCTACAGCATCCATACTCTGGAACATTAAGCTGCCAGCTCTGCCCCTCCCTGAGCCACGTTTCTGTAACTGATATGATACCCCAGTCCCATGTTCCCAACCATACCCAGAGTTCATCTGCCTTATCTGCCAGGCCTCTTGCATTGAAATAAATCCGGTTTAATTTAACAGTCTTACCTTGTTCTCTGCCTTGACTATTTAGTTTGCTCCTCTTCTCTACTGTACCAGCCTCAGACTTATCTCTTTGGGTCCCACTCCAGCCCACCCCTCTTTAATAGTTTAAAGCCTCCCGAGTAACACTAGCAAGGATATTGGTCTGTTCCAGTGCAGGTGTAACCCGGCCTGTTTATACAAGTCACTTTTATGCTAAAAGGGATCCCAATAATCTAAAAATGTGAATCCCTGCTCCTTCCACCAGCTCCTCAGCCATGCATTCATCTGCCGTATCCTCCATTTCTACTCTCACCCAGCACATGGCACCAGGTGTATTTCATATATTACTACCCTCAAGGACCTAGTTTCTAACATCCTAAATTTCCTATATTCTGTCTGCAGAATCTCGTGTTGACCATATCTGATTTAGCTTCTACTTATCTGTTTCCTGCCGTAGCTTCTTTAATACTAGTATCTTCAACCTTCCTGTGACTGATATTAAGCTAACTCGCCTATAGTTTCCTGCTTTCTGCCTGCCTCTTTTTGAATAAAGGTGTTAACATTTGCTGTGTTTCAATCTAATAGGATCTTCACTGCATCAAGGGAATTTTGAAATGCATCAGCTATTTTACTGGATGCTTCTTTTAATACCCTCAGATAATTCATCAGGACCCAGAGACTTGTCAGCCCACAGCTCCAACAATTTGCATTTCCATGGTGATTGCAATTTTCTTGAGTTCCTCCTTCCTTCCCTTATGTTGACACAGAAGAACCAGTGGGAGATAGCAATAATTTTTTATGTAGCAAGTTCTTACAATCTGAATTCACTGCCAAAATGATGATGGAAGCATATCAGTAATAATTTTCAAAAGAGACAGGTGCTTCAGCATATTTGCCAAGCTAGAGAATGAGCGGGGGGAGCCAAGAGCTGTGAAAGTGAGCACAGGTAAAATGGGCTGAGTGACTTTAATTTGTGCTGCATTTTTCAATGAGAAATGTTGATCTTGTTGCACACACTGCTCATTATTCCCTCGCATCACTGCTCATTATTCAGTTCTGAGGAAGGGTCACCGGACCCGAAACGTTAACTCTGTTTTTTCCTTCACAGATGCTGCCAGACCTGTTGGGCTTTTCCAGCAACTTTATTTTTGTTCCTGATTTACAGCATCCGCAATTCTTTCGGTTTTTATTTGCTCTTTATCCCCTGTTTCATTTATCTATTTTTCTCCCCATCCCCTCAAAATTTTTTTGTAAATGTATTCACAATATTCATTAGATTACATAAACTAAAAACACCTCTTGAAAAGGTAGCTTTAAACTTAACTAAAATGTTCCTTACTTAAACTCTTGCCCAAATATACAGGTGTGTTTTAAGTAGGTGGTAAGTATACAGTGATACAGGCTAGACATTTGTAGTAGTGTGGGGTCAAGGAGGTTTGTTTTGCCAGGTAAACTGAAAAGAATTAAAGTAATTCAAAACAACAAGGTAATGCCCAAATAAATGTTTTCACTGTTGTACAAAGAGACTGAGATGTCCATGTGCTTAGCAGGTTAAGGAGCTGAATCATTATCTAGAAACTGAGAAATCCTGCAGGACAGATCTGGAAATGTATGTTGCTGTCCTCAACACTCAGAAAAGTGTGCTGCAGGAAGATGCTGAGAAACTGCGTAAAGAACTGCATGAAGGTAATTAAAAGAAGAGAACTAATACTTTAAGAAGCTATGAATTGTTAAACTGAAAATGCATCCCTGATATTTGAACGAAGCTAAGGATCAAACTCGAAAAAACAATTCCTGAATTCAAAAGAACACTTTCCCATAGCTGTAATTTTATTTTGGAGTTTGTTTTTATTTGAATAATGCTTCTCTCCCCAATAACTCCCCCTCTATTCAACGAAATCCCAATATTTGGTTGTGGACTAACCCATTTCTAAACCTTTGTCAATCCCCTTCTGTAGTTCTTAATAATAAAACTGCCCCGAAATAACTCTTCTGTTACGATAGAAGAGAGTAAGGCATTAGGCCTCGGTTTAGTGCTTTCTCCAACTGCCAGTTATGAGAAGCACACCAGTTGACATTGCCAGCACAAACCCAAGTCATATGGGCATATTAGTTAGGACCCAGAAGTAGGACATTCAACCCTTCAAACCTACTCCACTATTTAATAAGATCATGGCTGATTTGTATGTGTTCTGGATTCCACAGTCTCATCTAACCCTGGTAACTTTTGATTCCTTTGCCTAACAAAAATTTATTTGTCAGTAAAAAAATTTTCAAAAACACCATCTCCATTGCTTCAGGGCAGAGAATTCCAAAGCGACACAACCCTTAAAAGAAATCTCATCTCTATTCTAAAAGAGTTAATTTTAAAACACTCTTGATTTTAAAACGCCCCTAGTTTTAAAACTCTCCCTTAATTCTCATCTACAAGAGAAAACATCCTTTCCACAGTCACCTTGTGAAGGCCATTCAGGATCTTACAAACTTCAATTAAATCAGTTCTTGCTTGAGCGAGAAACAAACCCAGCCTGTCCAATCATCCCTCATAAGACAGCCATACTCATTCCCGGATCATACTCCCTTAAGGTATAGCTGATCTCTGCCACTTGCCTTTGTGTAAAGAACTTTCTCTATTCCCAGTAGAAATTTATTCACTGTTATCTATTCTAAGTTAAATCTTAAGTTTAGTGCTTCAACACATTAACTATTGGATTAGTTAACTTGAGATGGAAGTTAAAGAAAAAGAAATGATATTAATAACTGACATTGAACCCAGAAACTTTAAATTTTGGAAGAGGGTTTCTCAAAGAACATCCCATGTGACTATGACCATGGTGAACTTGCCACCCTTTACCTTCTCTACCTCTCTGCAGCCATTAATACTGTTGACCATACCATTCACCTCCTAGATATCTTATCTGTTGTTTGGGTGGGTTGGCCTTCTCTCATCTATTCTTTCTTATAAGTTTATAGCCACAGTATCATGACTAAAAATGTAAGAAATAGGAGCAGGAATAGGCTATTCAGTCCTTTTAAGCCTGCTCTGCCATTCATGAGATAATGGCTGATCTTCTATTTCAACACCATTTTCCTGCACAGTCCCTGCCCTTAATGTGTAAAGATCTATCAATACCAGTCTTAATCACAAAACCTCCAGAGGCAACTGAGGCAGAGAATTCCAGCAATTCACCAGCCTATGAGTGAAGAACTTCTTCCTTACCTCATTCTGAAATGGCCTGCCCTTTTCTCTGATACTGTGCTCCCCTCACCTTCAGTTTGCGTTCCCCCCCCCATACTTCCTGCATCTGCCCTGTCAATCCCTTTAAGAATTTTGAATGTTGTAAGAAAACAGTTCTCAATCTTCTAAACTCCAGAGAATATAGGCCCAGTCTATTTAATCTTCCTTCATAGGAGACTTCTTCTGTGGCAGCAATTAGTTTGGTGAACCTTTTGTTGCACTTCTCCTCCTTTGGCGAGTATATTTTTTTTTAGGTAAGAAGACCAAAACTGCACACAGTACTCCAAGTGTGGTCTCACCAAACTGTATATAATGGCAGTAAGATATTTTCACTCTTATAATCAAATAAAGTCCACCATATCATTTGCCACCTTAATCACTTGCTGCACCTGCATGTTAACATAGAACATAGAACCGTACAGCACAGTACAGGCCGTTTGGCCCACGATGTTGTGCCGAACTTCTACCCTAAAACTTTAGATATATTTACATAGATCCTCAATGATCAACCTTTGGTCCTGTCCTACTTCTCATCTATATACGGTCATGGTGAAATTATCCAAAAATATAATGTCGTGTTCAACATGAATGGTGATCATATCTAACTTTACCTTACCATCACCTATTCACTCTAACCCTGCATTGCTTCTAATTTGTCTCACTACTTGTCCAACATTAAGTACTAGATGAACAAGGATTTCCTGTAACTAAATATTGGGGAGATCAAAGTCACAGTTTTAGTCCCCACTGCAGTATCTGTTTCCTAGTTATCAACTCCAACTCTTCCTCCAATAAATAACTGTGACTGAACAAGATTATCTTGGTATCTATTTAAACCTAAACTGAGCGGCTGGCTGCATATCTACTCATCTCACAAAAACTGTCCTTTTGCATTTCAGTTTGCTCTGACTCTACAGCTATCATGCCTGTAAAGTAATTCAATAACTCAGCATGCTCTATAATTTTTTGATATCTTGTAGGAGAATTGTTTGAATGCCTGGTCTCTTTTAAATTTTGTTACATGGTGTTAATGTGCATGATAACGAAAAGGGTCTAACTTGTGTGTGTCCTGCGCTGTAACTTGCAAATTGCTGTGCAACTCTCCAGCTTAGAGAAGAACATTCCTCTCTGGCTGGCGTTCAATTTCTCACACTTTTTAAATTTGGGATCATTTATAACTGGTGTCTATGACCTAATTTGCAATTTTGCTCGCTCGTCGTACCCTGTGCTTCCTGACATAGAGATTTCCCATCTGCCAATTCCTCTTTTAAAATTCACAACTTAATTTTGAATCCCTCTGTAGCCTTGCCCCCCTCAATCTATGTAAACTGCTTCCAAGTGCACGACTCTCTGCGATCTTAGTGCTCTTCCAATTCTGAAAACTTGAACATGACCAATTTTGAACACCTCTCCAAAGCCAGGGACCTGCTATCAGCTACCTAGGCTCTAAGTTGTGGAGCAACTTCCTTGAACTTAACTTCTCTTTCCTTCTTTGAGACGTTCCTTTTAAAATTTGCCTGTTCTGACCAAGCATTTGGTCATCTGCCTTTTCTCACCTTAAAGGACTTGAGATCAAAATTTGTTTGAGAATACTCCTGTGCAGTAGTTTAAAATATTCTGCCATATTAAAGGCACTCTATAAATGCTGAAAGTTGTCATTGTTAAAATTTGGCCTAATTCAATTAGGTGACATTTTGGCATGGTTCTGAAAGTTATTGGAAGGTAGTAGTCCACTGAGCTTCTCTTTAAATGTTTCCTTCAGTCTGTCATCTTTTGGAGCAAGAAAGACAGCAGCACAACCAGCTGAAACATACATGGCAGCGCGCCAATGACCAATTCCTCGAATCCCAGCGTCTTCTGATGAGGGATATGCAGCGCATGGAGAACGTTCTCACTTCCGAGCAACTTCGACAGGTTGAAGAGCTGAAAAAGAAGGAGCAAGTATGGAAGACTTCAAATCTGTATTTTACTATTCACCTGAGTAGCAGGAGAAATAAAACTGACTGGCTGCAATGCTAAAAGCATCTCATGTTCTGAAGTAAATATTCCTGTTTCAGGTGGAAGATGAACAGCAGAACCTCAAAAAAGCCAAGGAGAATAAACAGCCAGAGACTGAGGAAGAAAGATCCATAATGAGCTCCCAGTCACATGTGGAATCTCCTGCCAAATCTCTCAGCGTGTTAGATGTTGAAGAGGTTTGTTCTCTAACAGTTCACCAATGATAGTTATAAAACATTTTTGTGCATTTCTTGATAATTCTGCATATTCTCATAGCAATTATTGAGGGTGAACGGCAGCTTCTATAATGTCTCAGTGTGGGAGTAGACCATTTGGTAAGAACAGGATTTATAGGGAGGCTGCTGTTCAGTCTATTATGTCTTGAGTTAACTCGGGCTAGCTGGAGTGCTAAAATCAGACTTTGCCCCCTCTAAGTAGGTCAGAAAAGTTATCTGATTTCCTGGTCATTGTGCAAAATTCTTGATCACTGTCTGCTGAGAAGTCTTTTGTAGATATTTGCTGAGGGTAAAATTCAGCTCTGACTATAATAACTCCTATGGCCTAATAGTTTTGTTTGCAGCTCATAGAATCATTGAAAAAAATCATATATTGTTGGAAAATCTCAGCAGGTCTGCCAGCATCTGTGAAAAGAAAGCAGAGTTAATATTTCGAGTCCAGGGACTCCTCTTCAGAACTGATAGTGATTAGGAAAAGTTGGTATATATGCTAGGGAAGATGTAGGGGGAGGCAGAAACAGTAAATGATAAATGGAGATGGAGCCCAGATAGAGACAGACACAATTAGGTCCTCTCCATTCTCCCAGCCCTGCAGATTGTTTTATTATACCTTACTTAATTCCATTTTGAAAGCCTTGATTAAAGCTGCCCCCTTCATGATCCCAGGAAATGCATTCCAGATATTAACTCGCATAAATAAGCTTTTCCTCATGTTATTTTTGGTCCTTTGGCCAATCACTAAATCTGTGTTCTTTGGATCTTGACTCTTCTGCCAGTGGGAATAGTCCCTTTATATCTATTCCAACTAAAGTTCTCATAATTTTGAATACCTCTATCAGTGTTCCTCCATCTTCTCTGCTCTAAGTAGAACAACCCCAGTTTCTCCAGTCTGTCCATGCAGCTTAAGTCCTGTAACCATTAAAACCTTTTTTACACCCTTTTGGTGGCAGCATGGTGGCTCAGTGGTTAGCACTGCTGCCTCATAGTGCCAGGAACCCGAGTTCAATTCCATCCTCGGGTGACTATCTGTGTGGAGTTTGCATATTCTCCCCGTGTCTGCGTGAGTTTTCTCCAGTTGCTCCGGTTTCCTTCCACAGATGTGCAGGTTAAGTGGATTGGCCATTCTAAATTGTCCATGGTGTCCAAGGATGTGTGGGTTGGTTGGATTAACCATGGGAGGTGCAGGGTTGTAGTTGAGGGGCGGGGGGGTGCGTGGTGTACCTGGGTGGGATGCTTTTCGGAGAGTCAGTGTGGACTTGTTGGGCCGAATGGCCTGTTTCCACACTGTAGGGATTCTATGATTTTTTGGTTTCCTAAAGTGTGGTGTGTGGATTTGGACATGATACTCTAATTGAGGCCAGTTGAGGCTCTGAGAGTGCAGCACTCCCTGAATATTGCACTGCAATATCAATCTGAATTGTGTGCCCAACTCTCAAATCTTTTGCCTCCCAAGTGAGAGCTATTATTGAGCTGCAGTTGGCATCTTGAATGTTAGGTATGGTGGATTTACTAACTCCTGAGTGACTGCAGATATTGTAAGAGCAAAAATAAGATGCTAAAGAAATGCTGTTTGTGTCTGTTGGAAACAATATAGTTTACCATTTGGAGTTTCAAATGAATTTTATGCTTTCTTTTCCAGATTTGTGGAAATAGTATACATGGTTCCGTGCACTCCTTGGATTCTGATTTGTCAGTATCAATGGCAGGCTCTGCTACTAAACAAGAGGGGGAGCCGTTCCGAGAGAGCTTAAGAAGGGTGCAGTCCACTGACAGTCTAGGTACTTCGAGCTCCTTGCAATCAAAGAACTTGGGCTATGGACACAAGGCAAAATCAGCAGGAAATCTGGATGAATCAGACTTTGGGCCATTGGTTGGAGCAGACTCTGTTTCTGAGAACTTTGATACAGTCTCAGTTGGCTCTTTCCAGATGTCTGGTTCCTTCATACTGACAAAAGATCAAGAAAAAGCAATCAAAGCACTCACACCTGAGCAAGAAGAAACTGCTTCTCTTTTGTCGAGTCTTACGCAGGTAGTGGATACTGCTCCTAGTGGGTACAGAATGGTCAGTGAAAAAGAATGGAATTTGCTGCAACAGGAGGTGAGTACTTTCAACACCAAACTTTAACTTCTACACCTGTCAAACATTCACACGGCCTCATGTTCATTTTACATCCTGTTGCAGTTTAAAATGAACAGTAAAGGAATTAAGGGTTATGCTGAGTGGGCGGGTAAGTGGAGCTGAATCTCAAAAAGATCAGCCATGATCTTATTAAATGGTGGGGTAGGCTGGAGGGGCCAGATGGCCTACTCCTGCTCCTAGTTCTTATGTTCTAAAAGTCTTTTAAATGCTCTCAGCTAAACTTATTTGTGTTCCTTGAACTTATGTATTATTAAAAAGGTTGCAAAGTTCAGAACAAAGCCTTAATGTATGAATTCTTCTAAGTGGTAATTGTTGCATTGGCTCTTGCTATTTTACCTTTCTCCCAACACCTTAATTTCATTGATCCAGGCTCCCTGCAAATTGATCCAAGTAGCCAAATGTGCGTCTAGGATGGAATAGCCCCAAAATTAGGCAGTACCCATTTTACACTGGACTTTGACTACTATGTCTCCTGATTATTCGCAAATATATTTGAAAATTAAATGTGTACAGAAAAGCAGCAGGCCCATGCCATGTAATTCATAATGCAGTGTTTATCTTGCATAATGGAAACAACTTGTCCCAAAACATGTAAGCAATGATCTCCTCTTTGGCACCACAGTTGAAGGTAGTCACTTAACAGGAAGCTGAAGTCCATAGAACTCCTCAATTTCCCCACCTCCTTCCCAGCTTTACTAGTTTCTTTTGAGATACCAAAAGGCAGATTTCCTCTTAACAGTTAATTTTTTTTTGTAAAAGGCAAATTATTGACTTTGAGACAATTGTGGGATTCTGACTTAATGGTGAGGTCCTGGGAAGTGTTGCTGAACAAAGAGACCTTTGAGTGCAGGTTCATAATTCCTTGGAAGTGGAGTTGCAGGTAGATAGGATAGTGAAGATGATGTTTGGTATGCTTGCCGTTATTGGTCAGTGCATTGAGTATAGAAGTTGGGAGGTCATGTTGCAGCTTTACAGCACATTGGTTCCACCACTTTTGGAGTATTGCATGCAATTCTGGTCTTCCTGCTACAGGAAGGCTGTTGTGTAACTTGAAAGGGTTCAGAACAGATTTATGAGAATGTTTCCAGTGTTGGAGGGTTTAAGTTGTCGGCTGAAAAGGCTGGAGCTATTTCCCCTGGAATATCAGAGGTTGAGGGCTGACCTTATAGAGGTTTATAAAATCATGAGGAGCATGGATAGGGTAAGTAAGCAAGGTCTTTTCCCTGGGGTGGGGGAGTGTAAAACTAAGGGCATAGGTTTAAGGTGAGAGGGGAAAGATATAAAAGTGACCTAAGGATCAACTTTTTCATGCAGTAGGTGGTGCGTGTGTGGAATGAGCTGTCAGAGGAAGTGGTGGAGGCTGTTATGATTACAGCTTTTAAGAGACATATGAACAGGAAGGGTTTTGAGGGATATGGGCCAAATGCTGGCAAATGGACTTGATTTATATAGGATCTCTGGTTGGCATGGACAAGTTGGACCAAAGGGTCTTTTTTCTGCGCTGTACATCTCTATGACTCTGACTTTAAGAGCTAATTCACATCAATATTTCAAAGTTGTGATGGAATTTTTTTGATGCCACTAATTTTTGAATACTGTAGCTACCATCTGCGTTAAAAGAAATGTACTTAGTAATTTTTGTGTATCTATGCATTGTTCCACATGTTGTTTATTTGGTCATAAAGGTAGAATAACGATTGCTTTTAGCAATTTTTTAGAAGTTGTTTTGTTCATAAGAATTTTGTTTTTCTGTTGAAAGCATGGTGAAGGTGTTATTAATTATAACAAGTATTATCATAAGGAATTCTGTCATATATTAAAAAAAAATGAAGATTAAATGAAAATGGACCTAACTGTGCCAAGAATTAATGCAACTAATTAAGTTGAATGTAGATTGCAATATATTATGCATACAATATGAAGCTGATACATAAACAGCAACCAATGACGAGTGATTATGTACAATGATTGAAATTTCCAGTAAAACAGCTTGTGTTGTATTTGAGTTACAATTTCTAACACTGTTTCTGTCCATGGCATCTTCAAAATCAGTGTTCCTGAAAAGTGCCTAATTCTGCTGCTTGGGATGTAAGTCTGATCTTTTTTTTTTTTAATTCACTCACGGGATGTGGGCGTCTCTGGCTAGACCGATAGTTATCGCCCATCCCGAGTCAACCAACTGCTGTGGGTCTGGAGTCATATGTAGGCCGCACCAGGTAAGGATGACAGATTTGCTTCCCTAAAGCACATTAGTGAACCAGATGGTTTTTTTTTCCAACAATTGACAATGGTTTCATGGTCATCACTAGACTCTCAATTTTGGATTCTTTATTGAATTAAAGTTCCATTGTCTGCCATGGGATTTGAACCTGGTTCTCCGCTACATTACCTAGGTCTTTGAATCAATACGTCCAGCGATAGAGTGCAGGTTCATAGTTCCTTGAAAGTGGAGTCCCAGGTAGAGAAGATGGTGAAGAAGGCATTTGGTCAGTGCATCAAGTATAGGAGTTGGGAGGTCATGTTGTGGCTGTACAGGACATTGGTTAGTCCACTTTTGGGTGCAGTTCTGGTCTCCCTGCTACAGGAAGGATGTTGTGAAATTTGAAAGGATTTGCAAGGATGTTGCCAGGGCTGGAGGGTTTGAGCTACAGGGAGAGACTGAATAGGCTGGGGCTATTTTTCCTGGAGCATCGGAGGTTGAAGGGTGACCTTATACAAAGGTTTATAAAATCGTGAGAGGCATGGATAGGATGAGTAGACAGGTCTTTTCCGTGGGGTGGGGAGTCCAAAACTAGAAGACATAGGTTTAAGGTGAGAGGGGAAAGATTTAAAAGGGACCTGGGGGCAACTTCTTCATGCAGAAGGGGGTGCTTGAATGGAATGAGCTGTCAGAGGAAGTGGTGGAGGCTGGTACAATTACAACATTTAAAAGGCATCTGGATGAGTTTATGAATAGGAAGGGTTTAGAGAGATATGGGCCAAATGCTGGCATTTGGGACCAGATTAATTTAGGATACCTGGTCGGAATGGATGAGTTGGACCGAAGGATCTATTTCCATGCTGTATATCTCTATGACTCTAATATCACTAGGCCATTGCCTCCCCATTGCATCATTACACAAGATGCAATTGTAAATGTTTGCAGATTCAACTTGATGATTGGTTTAATCACCTTGGCTTTATCTTACCCTTCCCCACACCTATTTCTTATCCCTCATTTAATTCCCAAAAATAAATTTTCGGGATGGGAGACAATTTTTTTAAATAAACTGCTGTTTTGTATTCCTACTCAGTTAACTGACTTGAGGTCAGTGTTGGTTCTATTAAAAGATAACTCTTGATTTCATTTTTGTATAAATTAAATAAGCTGTTCGAAGGGTTAAGAATTGTGTTGCATGAGTTTTCTGAACTCTCAATTAATAATGCAGAGAGGTGGAGCTTCTCCAAGGTAAGGAAGCAGGATTAGTGTCAGCAAAATCATGCAGTGAGTTATTGATCTCTGTCGTGCTGCTTTGGAGAGATGGTAGCCAAGTGCTGCCCAAGGCAGAGGGAATTGATAAGAACAACAAAGAATTATTACCTTGTGCCATTTTTGGAGATATCTTATTAGCAGACCCTAGCGCTTTGATAGAAAGACTAGCACCTTGTTGATCTGTTTCCTGAGATATGGAAAATGATAATATAAGGACACATGGAAAAAGGGATTAAAAATACTTCCTCCTCCAAGGTGAATCCACCTTTCTGAATGGGACTGAGGATTTTTGCACTTGCTGGAGTGATTCAGTTCTGCCTGTATTTATGCTGTTTGTACTGATTGCCATCTGCCCACTTTTCACTGTACTATTTCCTTGCAGGTACAGAATGCTGGAAACAAGTTGGGCCGCCGCTGTGATATGTGTTCAAATTATGAGAAACAGCTCCAAGGAATCCAAGTACAGGAGGCTGAGACCCGGGACCAGGTGAGATGGACTGTTGTGAGGGATTAATTCTCTGCAAAATGAACTACTCTCATGCTGTGTTATTGTAACATTTATTATGTCCAGTTACTGTATAACTGACATTGTTTGGTTCTGATTCCTGACTGAATCATTAGAATCTTTGTTCCAGGCACAAGGAGCAGTGTTTCACCTGCAGTTTAGAAGGAAGTGGTGATTAATTTTCTTTGTCCTCCTGAGATAAATCTTTGAAACCATTATTGTTTCCTTTCTAATTTGTTGCTTTTATCTTTTGCAAATCATATGGCATAAAACCTTTAACCTTAAGTAATCCAAGAGAAATAAAATTTTTACTGGAGAAAGTCTATGCAATTATGTTCTATCCGATCACATGCCTTGCTATTTATCCAATAATAAGCAAGTATCATCCTGACTTGGAACTAATATTGCTGTTCCTCCAGTAGCATTGGGTCAAAATCCTGAAATTCCTTCCCTAAAAGCATTGTGGAATGTTGCTACAACTGAAGGACTCCGGCAGTTCATGAAGGCAACTCACCAACTCTCAAGGGCAGTTGGGGATGGGCAATGAAGCTGGGTTCCATGAACAAATTTTAGAAAGGTCAACATAGTTGACACCAAAATAAAAAGTCTTGAGTTTCATCCCAGTTACATTTCCACTCTCTTCCACTGAAACTGTAATGCCCAAACATTGAATTGGATTTTTTTACCACACTGTTTACGTGGAAATGCTCAAACCTCTCTTTACCAAACGTCATGATTAGGAATCAGCCTTTTGACATGTGTGCCATGCCACCCCAACATAATTTTGGAGATCTGATTTATATTAAGTCACTATATTAAGAACAAACCTTCATCATTGCTTTGGTTACTTTCACTCTGAGCAAATCCATTATTCTCCTGACCACCGTCTTATCTCCCTCTCCATATACCTAAACTTGTCCAAACACATACCATGTCCCATCACCCATAATCCCTCTGGTTACTGACCTACATTAGCTCTCCCGCAACACCTTCATTTTAAAATTCTCATACTGATTATCAAGTAAGTCCACGATATTGCTCCTCCCTATGTCTGGAACCCCATCCAATCCCTGTAACTCTGAGGACTCTGAATTGCTCTAATTTCAGCTCCTTGTGCACTTTCACTTCCTTCACCCACTGCCTATGCCCTAAGCTCTAGAATTCCCTCTGTAAACCTCTTGGCTTCTCCTCCTGTAAGATACTACTAAAATCTTTGGCCTTGTCCTGCTTAGCTCCTCATTTGGTTTAATGTCAAATGTTGTTTGATAATGTTCTTGTGAAGAAGCACAGACATATTTTGCTATAATGCAAATTGTCAATAAGGAAATGTCCCATGTGCAAATGAGCGAAACAGTTAAGAGTGTAATGGCCTCAGCCGCACCACTTAGTTAAGAAGGTGAAAATTGCCAGTGCTTGAGTTGGTAAAAACAAGTTTATCTGGTACTAATTAACAATAATTCCTTTGACACAAGCATAAATGTTTTTGTGAGAGTTTGCTTTCAACTGGGAATTTTACCTAATGTGGCAAGGTTTATATTAACTCCCACAACACAAACTGTGTGAATAATGTAGTATTGAAGAATCCAATTGACATTTATTACAACTGACTATTGAGTACAAGTAGCTACATTCCTTAGGCTCAGAAGTGTCTGGGCTCATAGTAAGATATTAGTTTACAACAGAAGAGCAACCTCCTAGTATAGTGTCATGCTTCAAATGATCTGAGGTAACATGGATATGATACCTTTATCCTGTCAGGTCACATGCTATGACACAGTGTTGATATCATGGTCATGTCACTTGAAGATATAATGACACACTGACCTTGAAACATAACAAAGCACTTTTTTATTTAGTGAAAACAAAGCAGGGGAAAAAACACTCAATTGTACAAAAAAGGTTCATAAGCAAATTTTTGTCTTAACTGAGTAGTGGCTGCCATTCGCTGATTCTCCACTCATGCTGCCATTAAAAATAAATGATACATATTTAATGACAACTGCTGTAAAATAATATCACATGTTTGAGATAACAAAGCGAGTGGTGTATATGTGCAACAATTTATTGATTCCTCCCTACAATTTGGAGGTGCTACAATAGAACAATCAAGGTTAATTAGCTGATACAACAAGAATTGCATCAATGGAAAGTTTTAATCATGCCACTTGCTCTTTTTTTATCCCCTGCTTTTTTTTATCCCCTTTAAAGGAAGAAAGCAAGTTTAACATCTGTGATAACTCTTGCTTTTCATTAGTTAGTTTGGAGAATATCAGTATGAATTGTCAGATGGCCCAGAAGTTGCTGGAGTGGGTCATCTTACAGTTAGAGCCATGGATTCGATTTTTTTAATCACACACTCTTCAGATTACATTGACAGAAACAAAAACAGAAGTTGCTGGAAAAGCTCAGCAGGTTTGGCAGCATCTGTGAAGAAAAAATCCAACGTTAATGTTTCGGGTCTGGTGACCCTTACTCAGAACCCGTTAACTCTGATTTTTTTTCTTCACAGATGTTGCCAGACCTGCTGAGCTTTTCCAGCAACTTCTGTTTTTGTTCCTGATTTACAGCATCCACAGTTCTTTCGGTTTTCTTCAGATTACATTATTGTTCTATCAATCATCAGAAACATAAGCTGATAATAGTGCAATGAGGTCCATGTGGCACTTGAGACTTCATGAACATTGAAGGAAACTTTGGGAATGACGGCGAAAAAAATGGGGTTAGTTACAGTTAAATTACATACAGTAAGAGAAATTGACAGGTGAAAGATCTGATTGAGAGAAAGGAGAAGCAAAAAAATTAAATTTGAAATTGCCTCACTGCATCATTAATGGCTTACATTTCACAGCAACACATTCAATGTAATAAAACATCTTAAGTTTCACAGAGCATTTTCAAATAAACTATGGCATCAAGCTGCGTAAGCTAAATGAGTGTAGATGACTAAACCTTTGCTCAGAGGTAAGTTTTACAACCTGTCTTAAAGCAGAACTAGAGGCTAATGGAGGAAATGCGAGGGGTCTGATTGCTGAAGGCATGGCTGCTCATGGTGATTAACATCAGAAATGCCAAAGAGTTGGAGTTGGAGGAGTACAGATACCTCAGAGGGTTGCAGGGAAGTCACAGCTTGGAGATAGGGAATGGTGAGGCTGTGAATTTATTCGGGCACAAAAATGAGAAGTTTAAAGTTGAGGGGTTGCTTAATCAGGAACCAGTGTAGGTCATTCAGCCCAGAGGTGATGAATAACTTTGATTTGCTGCACGATAGGACACAGGTAGTATTTTGGCAGTTAATGGAGGGTAGAGTGTCGAAATTAAATAGGAGTGCTTTAGAGTAGAATCCCCTTGCTAATGGAATTCTGGGTCAACCTACAGCACATCGATGGCAGTGATTCGAGAAGGCAGCTCACCATCACCTTCTCAAGGGTAATTAGGGACGGACAATAAATGCTGGACCAGCCAGCAATGCCCACGTCTCCAGAATGAATTAAAAAAAGGGAAGTCTGGAAGTAACACAAGTATGACAGGGGCTTCAGCAGATGGTTTGAGTTGGATCATGTTTACAGAGATGGAAATATACTGTCCTAGTTCAAGTTTGTGGTCATTATCTCATCTCAGTTAACTCTGACACCAGGCAATTAACAGGGAGAGAGAAGGGTTCAGTGGTTAGGAAATGGAATGGTGGCCTCCAGGAATAGTTTATTGCATGCTGGAGTGAAAATCCACAGTTTTAGTTCTCTTTTGGGGCATCAAAAGCTGAATTTCATGTTCACATTATTAATTGTGTCATTACAGGCTGCAATGACAGTACAGAGGCAGCCACTTGTCCATTGTGCCCATACTAGCCCTGCAGGAGCAATGTGTGAAATAGCTGTAATGCGATTCATTCATATTTACAGTGCAAATGTAGCAATATCCTTGTAGGCAGGTTAGTGATGAGCATCTGTTTTTGGGGAGCTAATAGAAGAACTGTGCTAATAACTAGCCTTGGTGATTTGCAACATGTAGCGTATTTATTCCATGCTACAAAGTGCTGGTTCTTCTTCCACACTGATAATGATAGGTGCTGTAATGAGTTCAACAATTTGAGCTATTAAAAATCTAAACTCTGTGCCTTTAATGTAATTCTTTACATTGCAACTTCTTTTATCTAAATTTACAGTGGAAGTTGCACATGCAAGCGTGTCATTGTTCAGTCACTTTAAGTGGCACTGTACAAGGGTATAGGGTCTCAGGGTTGTTGCAGCACAGAAGGAAGGTATTTGCTCTGTTGAGTCATTGCTGGCTTAGAGTCAGCAGTACATCAAGGCCATTTCCCAGTCAGTCGCTGCACGTTCTTCCTTTTCAGATAATAATCCAATTCCCTGTTGAATGCTTTGATTGAACCTGCTGCCTCTGCACACTCAGTACATTCCAGATCGTAACCATTCAGTGCGTCAAAGTTTCTCCTCCTGTCTTCGTTGTTTCTTTACACAGATAATTCATTATAAATATAGATGGAGTATTTAACTTTAACAGATTTAACTTCTGGATAACGGGGAAATTTCTGCCACAGAGACCACTCTGTCTTTGTGGGCAGCTTTGTTTGAGGTCAGGGGTGTGAGTTATCACTCTACTGCTGACAGCAAAATCCAGACAGTTGTGTATTTCATGGGCTTAGGATGTGCCTCCTGAGAGTGGCAATACCTGCAGCCTTAAAGGTACCTAGCAAAGGGTGTTCTATGGGTGATAGTACAGCAGTATATTTTTAGGTGCAAACTGTGCGATAACTGCTTAATGTACAACGTAATTAAATTCACGTGCCAAAGGCATCTGACCTATCAGTTATCACACTATCTATTGAACCAATGGCTAACAAAAAGCTGAGTGATTAGATCTTAAATTACCCCCAACCCCCCCAAAAATTCCAAACAAACAAGTAGGAGAAAGTGACCAATTGGTTGAAGTAAAGTTTTTCTTCCAGTCTGGAAATGTACTTCACGAATGGTGTATGTTGCTTCCAAAACACATGAGAAGGGAATAGTTTAGTTTAAAATACCTAATTGTACTCCTAAAAGCTACATGTAAAGTGTTTCCTCAAAGGAATTTCCTGTAGCATGATCTGGGTCTGAAATTAGATTGTGTGATTGGCGCTTCAGTTATTGAGTTGGCCATTTTCTGTAATTCCTTTGATTTTTCTAACAAAACCATGCCTGTCACGTGTAGAAAAGCCAAACACTGGCACTAAGAATAATAAAAGCAAAATGCTGCAGATGCTGGAAATCTGAGACAAAAACATAAAAGGCTGGAGAAATTCATCAAGTCAGGCAGCATCTGCAGAGAGAGAAAAAGAGATAGCATTACGAATTTGATCTGATTTTTCTTCAGAACAGCTAAGCCCAGCTGGAGGCAACAATCCTGGATATTGATGTAGCACTTGGTGATCCCCAAGGACCTCTTCTAGGCCCTGACCTTGTCACTATGTTAATAAATTTACTTGGATTTCTTTTGAATTTGTTCATGGAATCTGGGCATTGCTGACTGGACCAGCATCATCACCCATCCCTAATTATCTTGGAGAAGATGGTGGTGAGTCTTCATGAACTGCTGAAGTCCTTGGGGTGTAGGGAGACTCTCAGTGCTGCTGGGGAGAGAATTCCAGGATTTTGACAGAGCAACAATGAAGGAATGACAATATAGTTCCAAGCCAGGCTGATGGGTCACTTGGAGGGGAACTGGCAGGTAGACGTATTCCCATATAGTTGTTAACATTGACCTTCTAGATGGTAGAGGTCACAGGTTTTGGAGATGCTGTTGAAATATGGTTTTTTTGAGTTGTAGTTGTCGACCTATACACTGTTGCCGCTATTTATCAATGGAGATGGATAGGATGCCAATGAAACGAGATGTTTTTCCTGATGGTGTCAAGTTTGTGCTGTTGAAGCTGTACCCATCCAGGCAAGTGGGGAGTGTAATGAAAGAATTGTATATATGCAGTTTCATTGGCAACACCTAAATTAGTTGGTGAAGATGTCAAAGTGTGTACAGGGTTGGACAAGGCAAGCAAAGGAAGTTCGTTAGATATCAAGAGTTAAACATGCAAAAAGAAAGGGAGGAGCCTAGAAAGTGTAAGGTGAAAAAGAAAAGTGAATTAGCAAACCAAAGTGCGGGCATTGAAAAAATATTAGCAAAGTGAATCAAGGATAAGCCAAAGCTAATTTATAAATGCACAAAGTGTCAGATGATAACTAAAGATGGCCATGTCGAGGATATTAGAGACCAAAAGTATAACTTTGTGGGTGAACGTGGAACATGTGGGCATGGTTCCTAATGAAAACTTTATCCTTGCCTTCAAATAAGTGGTATTGAAAAACAGCATTGTTCCAGAAGCTGAGGGCTGTGAAATAATGAATGGAATAAATACAATGAGAGATGAAATGTTAAGGGTTAGCATCTATGAAAGTAGATAATTGCTGAACTTACATGAAATGTTTCCTAGGCTGTTAAGAGAAGCAAAGAAATAAATAATGGAGACTTTAAAGAGGATTCTGCCAACAAAGCAATAATGATGGAGGATTATTGGGTAGGATAAAAATATGTAATGGAAAAGTGAAATGAATAGTGTTGGCAGTTTTCCATGCATCCTAGATAACTGTGGGAAGTAGGATGGAAATTCCAGCCATGAGGCTCTAGAACAGAACCAGACAGGGAAGGCTGGTTAATTTTGATACAAGAATGCGATGATGTGTGGTTTATTTGTACAAAAGTGGAATTTATTTTCAACAAATTTCTACATTTATAAACCACAGAGATTTTTAGATCATTAACTTTTCATGAAAAAAAGCCGGATACCCCACATTTTGCAGCAAACGAACTGTGCCTAGAAAGCTATAGGTTTGCAGTAGATTTCAACAAATTCTACTATTTACAGCATCCTGCTGTTTGTTGCTTCTCGACAGTAAAGTGTTCCATTGTGGAAATATAACCAATTAAACCCTCGGGTTTGCATATTAAAAGTTGAATGTTGAGGTTTTCTCTGTTGCTTTACCTGGTTATGAACCAACTCGATAGTAAATACAGGGACAAAGTGTGAGAAAAAACGTATGGAGATGTTATACAGGTAATCATGACAGAAATGTGATTAAAATTCCTATGTGAGAGAAGGGCACAAATTACTACTATAAATTATATGATCTGAATGTAGTTTGTGGCCAAAGTATTACCAGACAACCGCTTAATGCATTCATAATATTTATAAAGTCAAGTTTTTTTTTTTAAAAAACTCTTGGCAAAGCTTCGTATTCACGTGAAACAAAAATTGCTGGTCACATAAGCCAGTCATCACTTGTTGAGGACAGATTCTCACTTTCGATCAATCATTCTCTATCAGTCACTTTACAGTTCTGATTGTTTCTTGCGCACTCTCTCCCTTCGCATATGCTCTCATTCTTTCCACATCTTGCACAGAGCCTTAACTATTTTCAGTGACCTCCCCTGTTCCTCTCAGTGTATTGAATATAAGCATAATTGAAATCATTTTGTATTGTACCAAACATGATTTTATACAGTGAACTCTTTCTGATGATGTGTCTATCTGCTTAACTGCAGGTGAAGAAGCTACAGGTGATGCTACGACAGGCAAATGAACAGCTTGAGAGAACAATGAAGGAGAAACAGGAGCTGGAAGATTATGCCAAACAGAGCTCCGATGACACTAGTAGCCAGGTACCAGGAGCAGACATAGCATTACTAATACTTGTAATTAGATACAGTGACTTGCTGATAAAGCTTTATATAGTAGGTGTTTATTTTGAATCAGGTTCTTGCAGCATTGAGCAGCATATTTGAATACTGTCTAGCTATTTTAGGTCATTGAATCATCACTTTTACATGTATTGAACTGATCCAGTGAAATCGACAAGTGGCAGCAAAGGAAAATTGCTAATGTTCGTTGTGGAGCTATATAGTGTGGTCCATGGTAAAATAAAAGCACCCATTAAATTTTCAAATTTAGTATGCAATATTTGACAACATTGTTTCCTCTACTAGGCTCCTTCCCCTCCAAACCCAGTAAGTTAATATGAATGCAGCAATATCAAACCTACAGTAAATATAGGAATCCAAGTAATAATGACAGGCCATCAAAATAGTTATCTCTGTACTACTCCTAGTGAATGTCTTAAAATTTCTCTAAATTTATTGTCACAATAAGCTGAGAAATTAGGTAATATTTTGTAGTTTTTGATTGCCGGTTTCTAAAGTTTTCCCAACCTTCTAGCCCAACACCAATCTTTTAATTTGATGCCATCTTTAACTTCCTCAGTGACAGTTTGCCCTTCTTGTAGAATCTTTCTTTATCTATGAAACTAGTCGAGATTGCATGTTATCAAATAGCTCCTTAAATATATGTCATTGCTAGGTTAGCAATGTTTTAACTGTTAAGGTTAACCTAACTTGTATGTTAACATACACGCCTATTTCACCCATGCCAATCTAGGTACTTTCTATAAGCCAGGCTGGCACTTCAGGTAATACTGAGAGCAAGTTCTACTGGAGCTGTCTTTCAAATAAATAAATAAATGAATGAAGGCCCCACTTGTTCTGTTAGATGGATCCAGAAGATGAGAGATTCCATGACCCTGCCCAAAGAAAATGGTCAATATTTGTCTCAACCAAAATGACCAAAAAAAGTATAAATCGCTGGAAATATTCAGCAGAACAAGCAATATTTGTGGACAGAATCAAATTTCCAGTATCTGTAGTATTTCGCTTTTACTTCAGCAAGAAAGTTGAAGTGATGTTCTATCTCAGTGCAGTTTGTGGGACCTTCCTACGTAAATATCAGCAGCCCCACTTCCTATATTGCAACAACGTCTACACTTTAAAAGATTGTCACTGGCCGGAAAATACTGGTGTGCTTGGATGTTTGACAGAAACAAAAAAATGTAAAATTGTCCTTTTGACCGCTCAGTAAGTTCACTTAGCCATCGGTGGACCCTTACTAATACCTATTTGGTTAAAAATAAATTAAATCAACTGGTATAATCTGCGCCTCAGCAATAATATCCAGCACCACTTTCCATTCTTATCCTAGATCAATGACTTTCAAATGTTATTCCAACACACTCTGGTGGACTACATTATTTAAACCCTAAAAGACTGCATCAGCTACCCAAAGCAAAACAGTGCTTTTGATGCAGAAACATGTTTTTGCAAGTTTCACTATTGCCTTGTCAAAACACTACATATTTTTTGTAGACAAGTGGGTTGAATGCATGGACAGATGGCAAATGACGTCTAGTGTGGAGAACTGTGACATGATTCCTTTTGGTAGGAAGAACATGGAAAAGCATTTACATAATAAAGGGTACAGCTCTAATGTGAGTGCAGAAAGATCTAGGTGTTATATGTGCATAAGTCATTGAAGGTGTCAGGGCAGGTTGAGACTCTGACTAATAAAGCAGACAGTATCCAAGGCTTTATTAATAGAGCAAGGATTTTATGTTGAACTTGTATAAAACACTGGTTTGGCCTCAACTGGAATGGTGCATCCAATTCGGGGCACCATACTTCAGGAAAGATGAGAGAGTCCATAAAAGTTTCATGAAAACGGTTCCAGGGATGAGGAACTTTTCAGTTACGAAGATGCCTACTCAGAAATGAGACGACACAGATTTAAAGTAATGGTAAAAGAAGCAAAAGCAGCACTGTTATGATCTCAGCAGATGTTATTACCGTACAGATCAGATCCCTGAATGAAAGCTGATAGATCATTAATTTAACGTGGTAGGCTTTTACGGAAAAATAAACACACAGAACTACAGATTTGGTTTTAAGAATAATATAGTAGTTGTTGAGGTTGGTTGGCTTGCCGAGCTGGTTTGTTGTTCTGCAGACGTTTTGTTACCGTGCTTGGTAACACCCTCCGTGCAGCCTCTGATGAAGCGTTGGTGTGTTTTCCCGCCTGGTTTTTAAACTCTGGGGTCCGTTGCGATGGATTGCCTCACTTCCGGATCTCCTCTGTAGTGGAATGTATGTGGGGTTGAGTTCAATGTGTTTATTAATAACATGCTTCGTGGAGTGCCATGCTTCCAGGAATTCTCGTGCTTGTCTCTGCCTAGCCTGTCCCAGGATCTTGGTGTTGTCCCAGTCGAAGTGGTGGTCCTCCTTGTCCATGTGGATTGAGATGAGTGAGTATTGGTCGTGTCTTTTTGTAGCCATTTGGTGTTCATGTACTCTTGTTGTTAGTTTCCCTCCTGTTTGTCCGACGTAGTGTTTCTCGCAGTCTCTGCAGGGGATCTTGTAGATGACATTGGTCCTGTCCATGGTGGGGAGTGGGTCTTTAGTTTGGGTGAGCACTTGTCGTAAGATTTGTCGTACAACAAGTGCTCACCCGAACTAAAGACCCACTCCCCACCATGGACAGGACCAATGTCATCTACAAGATCCCCTGCAGAGACTGCGAGAAACACTACGTCGGACAAACAGGAAGGAAACTAACAACAAGAGTACATGAACACCAACTGGCTACAAAAAGACACGACCAATACTCACTCCTCTCAATCCACATGGACAAGGAGGACCACCACTTCGACTGGGACAGGCTAGGCAGAGACAAGCACAAGAATTCCTGGAAGCATGGCACTCCACGAAGCATGCTATTAATAAACACACTGAACTCAACCCCACATACATTCCACTACAGAGGAGATCTGGAAGTGAGGCAATCCATCGCAACGGACCCCAGAGTTTAAAAACCAGGCGGGAAAACACACCGACTCTTCATCAGAGGCTGCACGGAGGATGTTACCAAGCACGGTAACGAAACGTCTGCGGAACAACAAACCAGCTCAGCGAGCCAACCAACCTCAACACCGACAACCCGAGCTACAGATCTACTCCAAAACCTTAGATAATACAGTAGTGTATTACATAAAAAAGTTTTAAAAAAAGACCAAACCATGTTATGTAAACATAACAGTTTTTAACATTTCAAAACATCCTGCAAAACAAAATCCCGTCTACTACCCAACACCATCACTTTACAGTTATTCAAAATCTGAAGAAAGTTTCAATCCCTGCCCAGTCTACAACTACTTTTCCCTCAGTTCATGGCCTGTGAGCTATAAAGCCTTTCCCTTAGAACGTTCACCTAACTGAGATCTTGGACTTCCTTAGTTTTGAATAACCAGTGCAGATTTCTAACTAAACACATTGATCTGAACTGAAGCCCTTACGCTTAGAACTTATTTCCCTAACTTCTTTGAACAATCTGCTTTGTCTAAGAGATTATTCTTGCATCTGACTTCAGTCAGGTCCCCTCACCTTCCCAACCTAAACCAAAATTAATCCTAGATTACTCTTTTTTTTTTATTCATTTGTGGGACGTGGGCATTGCTAGTTGGTCAGCATTTATTGCTTGTCCCGAGTCACCCTTGAGAAGGTGATACTGAGCTGCCTGCTTGAACCACTGCAGTCTGCATGATGTAGGTTGACCCGCAATGCCCTTGGGGAGGGAATTCCAGGATTTTGACCCAGTGACAGTGAAAGAAAAGTGATATATTTCCAAGTCAGGATGGTGAGTGGCTAAACTCAAAAGCCAAGCTAATGTCCTTCAGTGTTTTCTGTCTTCGGTCATAAACCCCCATAATGTAAACAAACTTTCACTAACGTTGCAGGGGGCAGAAACTGGTTTTAAATCATAGTTCCGAAAGGACTGACCTATTTAATTTTAAAAACTCTTCACGCAAACAGATCAACACTTTTTTGCTACTAGTTTAAAATCCAAACTCTTAAAAATAAATGATAATAATATACGTAAATCACATACCTTTTATCACAACACAAGGAGAGTTTTTCTCACGCAATGCATTACCAAAAAGCATAGTGGAGGCTGGTTCAACCAAACCATTAAGAAAATAATTAGACTGTTACCAAAACGAAGAATGTTCAGGTACAGGGAGAAGCTATGTCACAAAGTAAATTGCTCATCCAGAGAACCTGCCAGACAAAATGGGCGATCAGTTCTGCCTGCACTGTAACAATTTTGTGATTCTAATCCAAGCAATGCTGCCTCCAGCACTTCAGTACTCTTTTAATGACTCAGTGAGTAGTGTGCGTGTCTCCAAGCAAGAAGACTGAGAGTTGAAATTCCATTCCTAAAGCCCACTGTCCAAGCCAACAGTGTGCTGAGGGAATACCAGAACGCCAGGGGTGCTACGTCTTGGACGAGATCAGGAAACCAGGCCCCAGTCTCTGGGTGTTTTGTGCAAGATTCAATTGTCTTTCTTTATAGAAGCGCAGGTGGAACTGATGGAAATGCAGTAATAATGGTCTATTTTGTTGGAGTCTATTCGTTGCTGCAACACGTCTCATCCCATGCATTTTATTCTCCCAGGTCACTCGGCTGGTCCAGCGCGCACAAGATGCTGACGCCTTACTTACCAGCATTCAGCAGTTGTTTTCCCAAGCCAAGCGAAGCACCCAGGAACAAATGGTATGTTGTACCAGTCCAGGAGGCAGAGTCATATATTTTGGTTGTGCCTGCTTTAATAGATTAGTGAATTACGCAACTGGGGGTTAATGGTTGTTTCACTGGGCAACCCTATAGGTTGAGTAATACTTTAGTAGAGTTTATAGTTCTGCCAATTAGCTGAAAAAGTATGTCTGTTCTATAGATCATGGATGTGAAAGGGCACAACTTAACTGAAACCATATGTTTGTATCATAGCCATATCATCAAATAGTCATTTCAAAGCAAGCCAATTCAATACTACGCAGTGGTCTGAAAAAGTGTTTTTGTTTCATTTGAATAATTTATTGCCACGTGTATTCAATATTAAATACAGTGTATACCATCGCCACACATTGGTTCTATTCACGTTAACTTAAAAATAAAATTAAAAAATAAAGAAAGATAACTTAAAGAAAGTCCACTTTTCCTTCTCTGCTGTTACAGTCCCAACTGGGCTACACCAGCCCACACCATGCAGAAGCAAGAGTCCCTGCTCTAGGCTGTACTAGCCCAGGCTGTGCCGCCGCCAGAGTTCCAATCCACACGGAGGCAAGAGTCTCGCTGTAGGCTTTACAGGCTGGCCAACTGTGTAACTATGTTGCCACTGCTCTGGATCCCATCAAAGCTGTTGTTGTGAACGCTAATACTCAGTAACCAAATGAATAGTTGCTAAATGCGCTGATGGTTCAGAGACAACTAGGAGATGAGTTTGTGAAGTGGGCATTTGGATTCTGAATAGGGATATAGATAGGTTAAGTGAGTGAGTGAACATTTGGCTGATGGAGATACTGTAGGAAAATGTGAATTTGTCTGCTTTGGTGAGAAGAATAGAAAAGCTACATAATATTTAAATGGAGTGAGTTTGCAGAACTCTTGAGACTCATAGGGATCTGGGTATCCTGGTACATGGAATCTCAAAACATTGGTGTGAAGGTATAGCAGATGATCGGGAAGGCTAGTAGAATGTTGGTGTTTATTGCAAGGATAATGGAATATAAAAACAGGGAAATTTGCTACAGTGGTATAGAGTGTTGATAAGACCATATCTGAGTGCTACAGATTTGGACTCCTAATTTAAGAAAGGAGAGAATTGCATTAGAAGCAGTTCAGAAAAGGTACACTTGACTTGATTTCTGGCATAAAGAAGTTATGTTATGAGGGAAGATTGGACAGTCTGGACTTGATATCCATTGGCATTTAGAAAAATGAGAAGTGATTTTATAAGATGCTGAGGAAACTTGACCTGGTGATGTCTTGTGTCCCCCTTGTGGAAGAGTTCACAATTAGGGACACTTTTTAAAAATAAGGGGTTTCCCATTTAAGGCAGAGATGAGGAACCCTTCAAAGGATTGTTATTCTGTGGAATTCTCTTCTCCATAGAGCAGTCGTGGCTGGGTCGTTGAATATTTTAATGCTAAGCTGGAATTTTGATTTGACTAGACACAATGGTTATAGGTGGTTAGATGGGAAAGTTGAGGTCACAATTGAATCAGCCATGATCTTATCAAATAGTGGAGCAGGCTCGAGGGTCCAAAAGCTCTAAGCCGCCTCATTCTTAGGTTTATAGTACATGTGTGTTCATATGATATTCTTTTCCAGACCATTGGTTCTGTTTAAAAGTCAATGACTTGGGGTTTTACGCACTTGAAGCTGATGTTCGATAGTTTATTCTGTCGGTTTTGTTGTCTTTCCTAAAGGCGGTGCTGATACGCTCACGGGAACAAGTATCTGAGGAACTGATGAGACTGCAGAAGGAAAATGAGAGTCTTCAGGGGAAGCATAGCCTACACTCGTCTGTTCTTCAGGGAGAGAACTTCATTCCACCAGACACTGTGGAGGTGAATGAATATGTAAATCAGAAGAATCAGTCCAATGACCTGTTTATGATAATTGTGAAAGTGGTACATGGGATTGAACTACTTTGTTCTGGGAAAAATTGGTTTTGCAGGAATGCCAGGCTGCAAGTATACGTTATAGATTGTTCATTTCAGCTCTTGAATCTATCCTATATACTTTCAACTTCAGTCTCTTGGAACTACGGCTATTTGATCATGTGCTTCAGTCAAGGGAGATCACTTTTGTGACTGTTTGAGGCTCTAAGGAGCTTAGCAGCTCAAAGACAAGCCTGTAAATTCATTTCAGGAACTAAAACCCAAATAACCACATCATCGTATTTTTAATGTGAGAGTGGTTCATGTGTGGAATGAACTTCCAGAGGAAGTGGTAGATGCAGGTAGAGTTATAATGTTTAAAAGACATGAATGTTTAAGTACATGAATAAGAAATATTTGGAGGGATGTGGGTCAAGCACCGACAGGTGAGACTAGTTAATTTGGGATTATGGTCGGCATGGACTGGTTGGACCAAAGGGTCCGTTTCTGTGCTGTATTATTCTATCAATGAGGGCTTGAAGCAGGGTAATAGTGGCATGGTGCAGCTTTGCCTCCTGGCCCAATATGTGTTGTCTAAGGAATTGAGGATTTACCTTACTGCTACGTCAAGCAATTATAGGAAGCCTTCATTTTATTTGTTGTAGGTGCCTGTGTCTAAAAGTTCTGCTGTGACAATTGGCAGGGAATCTGCTCTGCTCATGTGTATAACTTTGACGGAGGAAGAGTGACCCCTCACCTCCTTTTGGTCAGCTGCTAGACACAACTCCAGCTATTGATAGCTTACTGGCTCCTCACTAGGATGATTCCTCAATGGTCGTCATCTTTCAAGAGTCTCTAGACTCTGGATTTAGATGAGGGAACTAAATGTAATATCTCCAAGTTTGCAGACAACACAAGACTAGGTGGAAAGTGTACTGTGAGGAGGATGTTTTGCTATGATTTCACTATGATTTGGACAAGTTGAATGAGTGGGCAATTGCATGGCAGGCGAAGTATGATCTGAGGTTATCCACTTTGGCAGCAAAAACAGGAAGGCAAATTATTGTGTGAATAGCAATAGATTGGGAGAGGGGAAGGTGAAATGAGACCTGGGTGTCCCTGTACCACAGTCACTAAAAGTAAGCATGCACATGCAGCAGGTGATGAAGAAGGCAAATGGAATGTTGACCTTTGTTGTGAGAGGATTCGAGTACAGGAGCAGGAATATCTTGCTGCAGTTGTACAGGGCCTTAGTGAGACTGTACATGGAATATTGTGTGTAGTTTTGATCTCCTTGTCTGATGATATTTCAGCCAAGGAGGGAATGCAACAAAGGTTTACCACGCTGATTCCTGGGATGGCAGGACTGACGTATAAAGAAGGAATGGATCAGTTAAGACTGTATTCGCTGGTGTTTTGAAGAATATGGGGTGATCTCCTAAAATTGAGACAGGATTAGACAGGGTAAGTGCAGGAAGGATGTTCCTGAAGACCGAAATCTACAACCAGGGATTATAGTCCAAGGATACTGGATAGACCATTTAGGACTGGGATGAGGAGAAATTTCTTCACCCAGAGAGTGGTGACCCTGTGGAATTCTTTGCCATAGGAAGTGTTTGAGGCCAAAACATTAATGTTTTCAAGAGGGAGTTCAGTATAATTCTTGGGGCTAAATGGATCAAAGGGTATTGGGGCAAAAGTGGGAACAGGATACTGGGTACAGGATATTCAGCCATGATCATATTGATTAGCAGAGCAGGCTCCAATGGCTGAATGTGCTGCTGCTGTTTGTATTTTCTATGCTTCTGTTTCTAATAGTCTACTTGTGGTATTCCATTTCTCCCAACTCTGAAAGTGAAGTGCAGTTTTCCTCCTGTTGCTTAACGGTAGATCAGTGGTTAGGGCTGCTGCCTCACAGGGCCAGGGACCTGGGTGCAATCCCAGCCTTGGGCGACTGGCTGTGTGGAGTTTGCACATTCTCCCTGTGTCTGCATTGGTTTCCTCTGGGTGTTCTGGTTTTCTTCCACAGTCCAAAGATATGCAAGTTAGATTGGATGGCCATGATAAATTGCTAACAGTGTCTAGATATGTGTGGGCTTGGTGGATTTGCCATGCAAAATGCAGGGTTACGGGAATCGGATGAAAGGCTGGATTTGGGTGGGAAGCTCTTTGGAGGGTTGGTGCAGTCCCGATGGGCTGAATGGCCTCTTTCCACACTGTAGGGATTCTATTTTATGATTCTAACCTGTAGTCTTTGTGGCTCCATTCTCCCTATTCCAAATTATAAAGGCAATATGGTGCCAAGTGCTGTCCTGGCTGTCACTGAGCTGGCATCTTGAGAGCCCTTGAAGTTCTGTCAATAGTCCTAAGTAAATAAGGAGTTGTGTAAAAATGTACCTCACTGATCTGCTTTTTTTTAATCCAATTGTTGCTGTTTTTGAAGAGATTATGCAGCTCAAAAGGCAGCTATACAGCGCACCATGCTTCAGTCATAAGAATGTAGGAACAGGAGTAGGCCATTCGGTCTGTTGAGTGTGCCCTATCATTCAATATAACCTTTACCTTTTGTATTGTTTTATTCATTCACGGGATGTGGGCACCACTGGCTAGGTCATCATTTATTACCCACCCATAATTGCCCAGAAGGCAGTTAAATGTTACAGCTCCCTACTATACTCCTTTTGCACTCATGACTGTGTGGCCAAATTCTGCCCCAACTCCATTTACAAGGTTACTGACAACACCACTATTGTAGGTCAGATTTCAAACAGCGACAAGACGGAATACAAGAAAGAGATTGAGTGCTTAGTGGCCTGGTGTAAAGACGACAATCTCTCCATGAACATCAGTAAAACGAAGGAGCTGGTCATTGACTTCAGGAAATGAAGTCGAGGGCATGTCCCTGTCCGCATCAGCGGTGCTGAGGTGGAGATGGTCAAAAGCATCAAGTTCATGGGAGTGATGATCACCAACAATCTGTCCTGGTCCATTCATGTCAACACGATGGTCATGAAACCACAAGAACTCCTCTACTTCTTCAGGAGGCCAAGGAAATTTAGCATGTTGACAAAGACTCTTACCAATTTTTATAGATGCACTATAGAAAGCAACCTATCTGGATGTATCACAGCATGGTATGGCAACTGCTGTTCCCAAGACTGCAAGAAACTACAGAGATTTGTGAACACAGCCCAGTCATAGAGATGTACAGCATGGAAACAGACCCTTCGGATAACTTGTCCATGCCGACCAGATATCCTAAATTAATCTAGTCCCATTTGCCAGCATTTGGCCCATATTCTTCTAAACCCTCCTATTCATCTACCCCCCAGATGCTTTTTAAGTGTTGTAATTATCCTTGCCTCCACCACTACCTCTGGCAGCTCATTCCTACATGCAACACCCTCTGCATGAAAAAGTTGCCCCTTGGATCCCTTTTGAATCTTTCCCCTCTCACTGTAAACCTATGCCCTTTAGCTTTGGACTCCCCTAACCTAGGGAAGAGAACTTGGCTCCTCACCCTATCCATGCCCCTCGATTTTATTAACTTCTATAAGGTCATCCCTCATTCACCTGATGCACTTCATATGGTACGATCTGCCTGTGTAGCATGCAAAACACTTTTCACTGTATCTCAGTACGTGTGACAACAATAAATCAAACTCGAACATTGTTGTAGGTCTGGAGTCACATTGTAGGCCAGACTAGGTAAAGAACGCAGTTTCTTTCCCTAAAGAACATTAGTGAACCAGATGGGCTTTTTTCTGCAAATCAACAATGAATTCATAGTCATCATTAGACTCCTAGTTCCAGATATTTATTGAACTCAAATTCCACCATCTGCCATGGCAAGATTCAAACCCAGGTGTCCAGATTATGACCAGGGTCTCTGGATTAATAGTCTGGCAATAATACCACTAGGCCATTAACCC